ATTGTAGAACTTCCATCCCTTGTACCCCTCAGGGTAACCAATGAACACACATTTCTCCATATGAGAGCCAAAGACGCCCCTCTTGTCCTTTTGTACATGCACATAGGCAGTACAGCCCCAAACGCGAAGGTGAGACATGTCAGGCTTGCGTCCATACCACAGCTCAAAGGGAGTGGCATGGGCCACTGCATCAGTGGGACACCTGTTCCAGACATGCACCAAAGCGGACAGACATTCACCCCAAAAGCTATTAGGCAATCCAGACTCTGATAACATGGCAGTGATACGCTCAGTCAGAAGTCTGTTTGCTCGCTCTGCCACACCGTTCTGCTGAGGACGATTCCTGGTGGTATGCTGTCTCACAATCCCGTGGTCATCTGTGAATTGCTCAAATTCCTTGGACATGTACTCTCCCCCTTTGTCATCGCGCAGAGCCTTGATTTTGCGCTCCAATTGAGTCTCAGCATAAGCCTTGAATCTCTTGAAAGCATCAAAGACATCTGACTTGGCCTTGAGAGGCACAACAACACGGAATCGACTGTGATCATCAATGAAGGTGACCCAGTAGCGATAACCAGAGAATGTGGGGGAAGAGACTTGGTGAACATCAGAGTGGATGAGGTCCAAAGGATGAGCAGAGCGAGTATCAGATGAGGGGAATGGATTGGCATGCATCTTGCCAGACAAGCACGGTTCACAGACAGGATCAGGAGCGGCCTTGGAGTCCAGTGTCAGCCCAGTGACCAGATCTCTCTGTATCAGTCTCTTGACATCAGCATGATGGTGATGAGCCAATCTGCGATGCCAGAGCATCAAATCAAGTGGTATAGTCACAGTGAAATGTCCCAGTTCAACACAAGCAGCAGTAGATCCATCAAGGAATGCTGCATTGTTGTCATTGATAGTTGCAGTGAACAAGAGAGTGTTGTCACGCATAAAGGACATGGAATGAGACGAAATGGTGACATTGAAACCACTTTGACGAGTTAAATACAAGACTGAGAGGAGATTATTTCGAAGATCTGGTACATGGAGCACTCTAGAGAATTCCACAGCCCTAGCCACTTTGCCATTCATCACAGGATTAAACACCACAGTACCAACACCAGCTGAATAGACGACAGTGTGATCAGCCAGCTTGATTGGCACACGATATGGGGTATAGTGGTGCACCCAATGACGATGAGGTGTCATATGAGAAGTGGCGCCTGTGTCTGCATTCCAATCAATGTCAGCATCAAGTTGGAGAGGGCAGTGAGGATCAGAGGGATGAATGGAACAAAGACTTGCATTTCCAGCTGATTCAGTGACCCAAATATCACAACAAGTGAAGCACAGGATGTGGAGATATGCAATAGGGGTCCAATAGGGGTGAAAGTGCCAAAAATGCGAACTTCACAGAGGGTGATGGAGTGGATGGATTGGCCCCAAATTGAGGGTGTAGAGTGCGATAGTATAGGGTACTAGATGGCTCAAATAGGGCCAAGATCCTAGCACAGGATGTGGAGATATGGAGTAGGGGGCCAAAAGGTGATCAAATGATGATGAAGGCTCACAGAAAGATCCAGCTCAAATCCAACCGCTCTGACAGGTCTCCTAGGGTCATTTAGGCCGTAGAAGACGATGGTAGAAGTTTGGGGACGATCAGATAAGGATTGGATGAGATATGATGCAGATAAGACCAAAAAAGCGTCCAAAATGGGGGTAACTTGCAACAAGGAGTTGTTGTTGGAGATCAGGATGAGATCAGAGTAATCTGAGGTGATGGATGGGATAATAGGAGTCCCAGAAGACGATGGTTACGATGGATAAGCAGTAGGACGCTTGGATGGTGAGATATGAGGTCAGGAAGATGGCTAGAGCACAGGGCTCATAACCTATTAAGAACAAAGCTTGAAGGAAGCGTCTAGCCACTTGCTGAGAGCAATCAGGGACTGGAAACTAGAGTCCAATGTGAGTAACTTTATTATTAGAGAGTATGACAGGTATACAGTACCTAGAGTCCAATGTGAGTAACTAGAGAATAGGAAGCATTGGACTCTGCAGTACTGTCCGATGTCTTGTAAACAAAGGTAAACAAAGCAGCCACAAAGGCGGAATAATAGAGAACACAATCAATACTGAATGGTAGAGGGATAGATAGAGAAAGGAATGAAAATATAGCGGTAGCACAAAGGTGCAGAATCACCAAAACTAACAATTTTCTCTTCTGCTGATAGGTATTTCCTGAAAACTTCTCATAGCTCTGAATCTTGGCTAATTCGAACATTGGCAACCCTCATTGGATCTATGAGGACTACTCCTTTATTGTCCAATTCAATATTTGTAACGACTCCACATTAGAGCCAATTGAGCCTAAACTTAGGCCTGGAAAAAAACTGCACATTACAATTGCCCACAATGAGGCACTCATCCGTGCAAATGACTTGAAAAAGTGTGTTTGGGTCACTGACTGTCTATGCAGGCATTTGTGTGGCTACTGATGATTATTTTCCCACTGCCAAACATCTCGTTCCAGAAATTCCCAACTCATGCCCAACTCGAACCATTAGGGCCATCTTCCACAAAATGTGGCACTACATGGATGCATACAGATAAATGTTAGTTTTGGTGATTCTGCACCTTTGTGCTACCTGCATATTTTCATTCCTTTCTCTATCTATTCCTCTACCATTCGGTATTGACTGTGTTCTCTATGATTTTGCCTCTGGGCTGCTTTGTTTACCTTTGTTTACAAATCTTTGGATAGTACTGCAGAGTCCAATGCTTCCTATTCTCTAGTTACTCACATTGGATTCTAGTTTCCAGTCCCTGATTGCTCTCAGCAAGTAGCTAAACACTTCCTTTAAGCTTCGTTCTTAATAATAAGTAGTACATATAATTATTCTATCAATAAACCATTTTCTTATCTTATGTTTTAGAAAAGGCTTAAATGCCAGGTAGGCAGGATTTGCTGTGAAGAAATATAAGTCTCACTGATGCATTGGCCCTACAATAATGATAGACTTAGGTATTATTAACAACAGTTGAACTTAGTTACCAACAATATTGTCACAATCTCAAACCCCAGAACCTAGTCAATCTCTCAATCTCTCTAACTCTGATGTAGAAACACTAATCTCACCTTATCTAATCAGTATATAGATATTTATCTTATTCCGTCATGTAACCTTAAGTCACCTGACTACCTTACTCATCACACATGCTTCATCCTCATATTTCTCAGTCAGCGCCTCAAGGCTAACACATTCTCATACATATATAAGTAGCTACTCTACAACTGTACATACCTGAGCTTTTGATTTACTCTTTATAAACCTGGTTCAACTACCTGCTTAGATTTAGCGTGATCACTCCGTTAGTTCGGCATAGTGATTGCGTTATAAATATATTCCTGGACCCAGAGGTTCCAGGTTTCTGTTTTAACATTGAAGTTTTTTTTCTTCCCAGAATTTTTATATCTCTTATGTATTGATCTGCATGACTCGCCCTCTTATTTGTAAGCAGTTTGTATAATTTAATTAATACCACCTCTTGATTCTCGTTCCCTTTGCTTTCCATTCAATATAGTGGCTTACATGGTAGCAGACAGAGCCAGATCCTGACATATAATTTTTGGAGCACCTACAACTAAGTGTGGCAGAAATGGGGTAAACAGCAACAATCAGAAAATGTTAATTATCAGAGATACCTGCAAAACAGTACTTTAAATGAGTTGCTGAAAAACTTTACCTCACTATTTGGTACATCATAGAGATGAATGGAATGCTAATGCTATGATAACTTGCCACAACAAGGGGACCAAAACGCAAAATAACCGGGTCCAGGTTTGCCCCGGAGGGCCATGTTGTTTATTTTTCTAGCTATAATAAATCTGGTCAAGCAAAGTATACTGCTATGTACCACATTTAGTAATTACTACATGTGGTAATACATTTATTCTCAGCCTGAAAAAGTTACTTAATAAGGAAAGTCTGATATTTTCCAACTGAAATAGAATTTCCTTGATACTTGCTTTCAGGTGTTTGAATTTTAAAATTCTAATGAGATACTTCTACATATACAATGTAAATATACTGCTTTATACAGTTTTCAGGACAATTTATGGTAGGAGATACATTTGCAAAATTTGGGCTATGGGACTTGCCGGTTTTTGGCACACTATATGGTGCGGTTCATTTGAGTGCTGCTACTTTTGTGCAAGCGCTAAATTGGCCATTCAAACTAACCCTGACCACCATTCAGCTGTGGGAGCACAGGATATATCAGTAGATGGAGGCTTACCAATCGGAACTTGAGACCAAAGATGCTCAGCTGCAGGTTCAGCAGTTTAGTTCAGCAAAGTACAAGTCTCACAGACAGGTTCCAGAAGCTATTGTACGTCTTTTTGATTAATTTTGGGCGACTTTTGTACTTATGTGCCAATTTGGGGCCATCAAAATAATTATCTCCCTCAGTTTTGACATAATAAAAAATCTGTCTTGTGACTATGTTCCCCTTATTAAAAGGACCATTTTTACTAGAGGAAATCAAAATCCGACTTTTTCTGAAGGGGGTGAGAATTTTGCACAAAAGTAGCGGCACTCAAGTGAACCGCACCATAGATCAGACCCGGTTGCTTAGTCTCAAACCCAGAAGCTAGGGCTTCGCGCTAGCGTCTGGGGACATTTGATACAGGCCGAGTGCATCGAGTCACACTTATTAGCCGGGAAACCTGCCGAGTACCTGCCAACTTGTAGTAACATAATCATAATCAAACTGTTATCTTATCTCTTGCCATGACTGACTGTGAGATTGATCATCCTGGTGGCCAGTTTAACGACAAAGTCAATCCATTCACGCAGAGTAGCATACATGTATTTTCCAATTCTACTGACACAAAATCTGACAGTGATCCTGAGGACCCTCCCCAGCTCCCAATTCAAGTGCAACATACTGCATACCTCAAGAGTCAGCTCATCAGCAGTCCTGTCCTCAAAGTCTGAGCCGTCCTCGAATACATGTCATCTCTTGGCCTCAATCTCCCTTTGTTCCTCGATTATGTGAGCTGGGGAGATCATGAGTGTACCGCTGATCCCAAGATTTGCTATGAAAGGGCAAATCTCATGGTCAGCAATGAATTACCTGAGATTCTCAAGCGTTGGTCCAAGCCACCATACACACAAGGCACTCACAATGCACGGGCAAGTGGAGCCAAGGGAGTTCTTGAGAAGTTTTTGTTTGGTTGCATTGGAGAGGTGCTTGAGGACGAGCTGAGGAGGATCCAGGACCTCGCAAAATGCCCTCCTGAAGATGTATCTGAGGAGGGCCTTACCAGCCTATTCATTGAAGATCTCGTACTAAAGCTTCAAAGCCCTGGGTTTGATGGAACACCCATGCTATGGGCACTGCTACAACATTTAACAAGGACTGACTCACAGGAAAAATGAAACACAAAGTGTTAGTTTTGGTGATTCTGCACCTTTGTGCTACCGCTATATTTTCATTCCTTTCTCTATCTATCCCTCTACCATTCAGTATTGATTGTGTTCTCTATTATTCCGCCTTTGTGGCTGCTTTGTTTACCTTTGTTTACAAACCATCGGACAGTACTGCAGAGTCCAATGCTTCCTATTCTCTAGTTACTCACATTGGACTCTAGGTACTGTATACCTGTCATACTCTCTAATAATATAGTTACTCACATTGGACTCTAGTTTCCAGTCCCTGATTGCTCTCAGCAAGTGGCTAGACGCTTCCTTCAAGCTTTGTTCTTAATATATGTTGGGGGTCGAAAATTTGGTATACTGTCAAGGATGCTAGAGCGCTCTGCAGCGAAGATGACGGGATCAGCATTGATGTTATCAGGGGAGCAATTTTTGCCTGTATTGTAATCACCAGGGTCATCTAACTGTTCTTCCATGTCCTCCAGTTCATCTGCAATTGCACCAAGGTCGGCTGCTGACCTTATGTCAGGTAACTGTTCATGTAATAAAGTTGCCTGTTCAGAGTTCACAGAGATAACCACCAAAACAACTAAGGAAAGCAACAATCAACGTCTTGCAGGCTTACAAAACGCAAATCTACCACATCCTGGCCGTCAAGCAAATGATAGGGGTTACTTTCAGCCTTCACACCCGCAAGCTCAATCTCACTTGTTGAGAGTGCGAGACATTCCCATAATTCCTGTCCTGCTGGGGCATAGACTGCCGAGGCCTGACAGTGGAGCATCTGAACTGGAAGAATGGTCCCGTGCAATGCTTATCCTGTTCAAGCCATGGTTCACTGCGCTGGACTTAAATCCTATAAATCAGTCTTGGGAGGAAATGTACGCCGCCCACAATTTTCCCTCGACCTTGCAACGTGTTATCGAAAATATCCATGTCAAGGATCAATGTCGCGATGCGCAAGACAGGCATAAGAACGAAAGACGGCATCAACAGACAACTTTGTTACATGAACAGTTACCTGACATAAGGTCAGCAGCCGACCTTGGTGCAATTTCAGATGAACATGTCATTGGACATTGTTGCCTCACCATCCCCAAACGTCAAGTTCAGCTCATCCAATGGATCTGAAACGTCCAGATTTTCCTCCTGCAGGTCACCAAGATCAGCACCACTTTCCTCCGCCTGTAAGTGATCATTAGCAGGGGGAACTGTTTGGTTTGGGTCAATATTTACATCAATCTCTGTGTCAACAGGTGTGTTGTCGGTGTGGGTGCCGACAATGTTTGGTGATGTAGTAATCCACCTGTCAAAATTTTGCCATATAAGAGACCGAAACGAATGACTGCAGTAATAATCCCCGCCCCCCACAAGGTAACTCATTACTTGTGGGTGGGAAACCTCTTGTCTGGCCATAATAGTGTTTATTGTTTTTGTGAATAGGCTTCTGTTCACTGCCAAGGACGAGCCCACGAGTCCTTCAAACTTCACATTATTTTGCCAAATAGCATACAACACAGCAGCGAGGCCAACATGGGTAGGCAGCTGAGATTTAGTGATATAGTCAGTCACATAATATACTAACACTTTGGCTGCTTTCCCAGATCCAATAAATTTGATATCCATATTGCAGCAAAACAGGAAAAGGATGAGGTCATTGAAGTTGTTGATCCATGGGTGAAGACGCTTCAACAAGATGGATTGCGTTTCAGGATCAAGGTCAGTCATTGCTTGTGTAGAGCCATTCATGCGCATGCAGCAGTTCTGATCTTCCTTTGGCTGACCAGGTTTCAGATGCTTCCAACAGGTATCGGTGTGCTCGTGCCAATTGCAATCAATGGTGAGTTGTCGCACAGTATCTTGAAAGGCTGATGTAAAGTCGTCATCTGACATTTTGGCACAAATAGGACTCATGGTTAATCGAGGGTCAGGTTTGTGTGGGTCACAGCGAGGTTTCCGCAATGGCACAGTATCAGTATCTACAGCCAAGTGGGTGTCACCAGGTAAGTGGCAAAATACCAAGTTTTCTAGCCATTGAAACATTGATTGCTTGAATTCATCATGCGCAGTCATGCGATCACGGAGGACTTGCGGATTCAGATTGCCTTTCATCCACAAGAGCATGTGACAATGCAACGTGCCACGTCCTTGCGCTTCAACCATACCATCATGCTCAATACAGTGCCCAAACAATCCAGGACCTCTTTTCCAACGGACCACAATATCGAGGAATGACTTAATCATAGTGTCAAAGAACTCAGCAGCGGGACCAGGGTTGTTCGCGACAAAAACGCCACGCTCAAACGCCAACATTTCACGCCAACGATCAGCTGTCAGACCTGCAATGACATCCAGTAGCGGATTGTACAAATCGGCAGGATTTAAAGTGACAAATAAAGTAGGGGTTCCAAATTTCTTAATAAGTGCACGAATCTCATTTCGCCTGCACAGTTTGTATTCGAAGCTCCCTTTCAGTTCCTTTGCAGCAAGCTTCAATCAGTTTAACAGTTTTAATGCGCGTTTCTGTTGCCGATTTGATGGTTTGGCACCAGGATCACATTCCAAGGAAGATATCATGTTAGTCAGTTCAGGTGCAAGAGACTTCATTTCCTGCACAATTGTATCACGCTCACGAGAGCTAACAGTGAACGATGTGTTCTTACTAACCTCCCTTTTCTGCAGAATGTTCCAACATACATATGCAAAGCGAGGATCTTTCTGGAACAGTGAGTCATGTTGTTTCAGCAAGTTCTGCACCTGCCTCTCAAATGATATTTGCTAATCAGGACGGTGATTCGGTTCGTTGAAGCCTCCTATTCCCCAGGGATCCAAGTGAGGAAATAGGTAACTCATTAATCCCTGGTCTCTGTCATTGATGAACTGAGAACCTGATTGCATTTTCAAAAAATTTCCGCCATCAAGTACTTGTGATAATGACTGTGCTTTCATTAGCTTGTAGTCTTTAGGAGTATAGTCCCCCGCCGCATATCCAACAGTATCTATTAGCAAAGTATCAAGGTGGGCATCACATTGCGGAGCAGAGGTTTGTACACGTTGCTTTGACACAAGAACAGGCTTCAAAGATGCAACATTTTCTCTGGTAGGTTTCACTTTCCAACCAACAAACAAAGCACACATAGCATCAGAAATCTCATGTCGAGAAGGAGGTAGCACTTGTCTCAGTTGCACAGATTCTTGGGGCATGACTGCAACATTGCCTTTGATGTATTTCTGAGACATTGTGGGATTGGAACTAAATCCACCAGCATTTGTCTTGTAAGCAAAGAGATGGGACAGTTTGGTTGCGCAAGCCCAGGATACCATTATAGTATCATACAAAGTAGCAGTCTCCCAACATTGAGATACATCAATTGGTAATTTGGGTGTTCCATAGTACTGAAAGTTGGCAATGGCATTCAATGGTTGCTTTTCATCATGTACGAGACACCTCTTGCACGAATCACACACCCACATAAAACCAGGAGCATCCAGGTTTTCCAATGCTCTAGGATCTAATAAAGCACGTTGATAAGCCTCAAAGTTATAAGTTGAGGGAACAGTTGGAAGTGGCAAGCACGCATTCTGTAGTAATTGTAAACAAAAATCATTGGCATGGATGCGAGACAAAGCAGATCGATCACAGCTATGACTACACACAGCACAAGGGGAGCAAGCCTGAGCATCATAAGACAGTGTCTCTTGCCATTCAGTGATGATGGATCGCCTCAACTGCGGAGCCTGTGCAAGAGGAAAAAGGTCATCATCGGGTGCATCGTTGACACGCGCACGTCTAGATTGCTGACAAGAATGAGTAGTGTTGTGCAAGTCATTTCGAAGCTGTTGGACAGTATCATCACCAGGGAGATTTTTGGTTCTGGGACGATGAAGTCTGAGACGCAAAAAAGGATGTTCAACTTGCAAAGATTCAAACAACAAAAGGGCTGGCGGACATTGTGATGTACAAGTATGGGAACGTAGAGTCCTTAATATCCAAGCCTTCCTATTGTTTGCTGGCAGTCATAAATGATGGGCTGCAGCCAGCATGCAAATGTCAACAACACGCAGAAAATCAAAATTATCTAGAAAGGACGCTAAATCTTCAAAGCGCACAACAATCAATTTGCCTGTAGGCCAACAATCACGGGGATGTATAGGAGCATGATTATAGATATCAAGAAATTTGAAGGAACGATTCAGTAGGTAGGTGGTGATATACGAGTGACCATCATCTAAAGCATGTACAGGGACATCGGTGATAACTGCTGGCACAATAACAGAGGTAACATCAGATCCTGAAAACATGAAAAAGTTTTCGCAGAGTCAAGTATATCGGGTGCATTTCATTTCACAAATCAAAATCAATTAATCAACATGTAAAAACAAACATGATGTATGGGCCGTCCAAAAAAGTGAGTGATGTTCGTGGCACAAGAGCGAGAAACATGTACAAAGATTGGAAGTAGGGATTTGAGTAGCAGGCAGAGTATCCGACGTGAAAGGAGCTTGATTGACAGGATCAGAAGAAATGAGATGTCCAACAGAAATCGACAAAGAAGATGTGTCAGCGTCGGGAGCAGGGTAGGACTGTTGGTTTCCCATGACAAGAGGTGATGGTGCAGAGGGAGACGACGATGAAGATAAGATAAAGCGGAGAAAGAAAAAGCACAGCCTGTCATTTGGATGGAAATACAAACCGGGTATAAAGCCTCCTTGAAAGAAAAAAACTTCAATTGCGAAATGTAAACCTGGATCCTATGGGTCCAGGAATACAATTTACTAACCTGCTCTTCTTCCAAGGTTTTTAATGGCGATATCACCACAAATATCCGGCTTTTGTCAGTAAATAGGGGCATGACAAAAGCAAGTGTCTTGCCAGCCCCGGTGCCTGCTATAATAGTACAATCTAACCCCAGTATGAAGGCTTCCAAGGCATCTAGCTGCCACTCATATGGAGTCCGGCCTCTGCATTGCTCATGAACACTTGTTATAAGTTTTTGACGAACATCCCTGGAGCAATAATGGTTTGCTTTGTCTCAGTGCTGACTTAGAAGTTTGTAAGATTGTTCTTTGTCTTTTGTGTGTGACATTTGACGAGCTTGAGGACCGTATCTTGTCATGCGTAGAAAATACTCGACTTATTGCATTACACCCAAAAAAAAACTCTATTTACACTGTACGACTAATCATGATGACAAAATGTTATCTATTTCTGCTTTTGGACGAGCTCTCTACCCAAAAACAGCTATAAGTGTGACATTGTGACTCGATGCACTCGTCCTGAAACGAATGTCTCCAGACGGTCTGGGACCTCTGTTCCCACCCGTCTGGATTCGAGACTACCGGTTGCTGGCAATAACACAGCTATAGCAGCCGGGATGTTCTAGATTGTGGCTGAGTGTGGGGAAACGGGGGAAGTGAATTCGCCCAACTTTCATTACTATTAAACCCTTCTGTTGTCTACTACAAACTTATTACCGTAAAATGGTTCGTGTGTCTATCTGAATTATTACTGTTGAGTGATATACCGAGTGCACCAGTCAGCTTACCCTGCCTATGCCATGGGCGGTCTTTGTCTTGCTGGAGGCGTGACTGGTTTTGTTCGAACACGTTCTGTCCCGTCCTTAGTAGCCGGTGTGGGGTATGTTCACTTGGACTACCATCACTTCCCGAGCATGTTGCTAATTAAGGTCTTACAGTGTCGGTCTGCTATTCCTGTGGAGTGCAGACAATATCCGGAAGGGCACATCCAACGGGCTTGAGGGTGCTCTCGGTACGTAGTATCCTCCTTCCAATGTATCTTCCCCAGGCCTCAATGTTATGAATCATGGCCAGGTGCTTCTGCTCTCCTCCTACTTTCTTCACTACCAAGGGTTGCGAAAGGACCTGTACCTGCAGTATTGACTGTGGCCTCCGCTGCATCTGGAGTATATTATGGTAAAACGGTTTATGGCTTAAGGAATCATTGAGCATTGGTCCACATCGACCCATGACAATTTGCCCTTTGCTCTTCGCCGCATGGGTATACAGGATTAAATACACTTTGCTGTTGTACTAAATGCTTCTACTGCGATGTCAATCAAGACTGCTGCTTTTCGACTCGAATTTTCCCCAGAGTCCTTTGTTTAGCAGGCTATTAAGTAGGTAAAAGATAATTGAAGCTTCGAAGACCTACTAGTAGCCAAAAGCTAAGTGAGTACTATATGCTTACATATAATTAAGGCAGGGTGATCATGTGCCCGCTGAGTCCACCAAAATTCCGAATTCCAGTATCTTTACTTTCTTTGCTATACTCGTAGTAGCAACCTCGAGCTTTGCATGTCCACAGTCATGCCATTTTCCACGAAAAAACGTAAAGAGCCTCCGTCCGTCACTCTGCACGACTTTTTCGCTCCAAAGATCCCTGCGAAGAGAGTCTCGGGAGTACGTCCTTCACATGCCAGCTCTTATGCGAAAAAGGAGCAGGCCGCACTTCGCTCAACTGAAGTCATATTCATTGATTCTGACTCTGATGAAGAAACAATCCAACCAAACAAGAAATACAAATCACACAAGGTGTCAGACCAGAATAACTCTAATGGACAGTTCGTCGACCCGCTTCCTGAGAAGAAACATAGGAGCCATCCTAGTAGTAAGAGCGCAACAGATAACGTCTCTCCTGATACACCCAATAACTTGACCAGGGTATCAGCAGTCTTATCGAAAGAAGGGGGAGGACTACTGTCCTTACCATCAGCTCAGAGCAGTGTACCCATTTCCTTCGGACAACCGAGCAATCTTTTGCAGGATAGGAGTCTGGAGCCCTTGGAAAAGACCAGTTGTAGTAATGCATCATTCACAAGCCGCGTTACACCTTCTCTTCAGTACCAGCGTACCAAATTGGACCAGCTTTCTGAAGAGTTATCTTTTGGTACCCCAGCCGTACTGCTGTCTTCGCAGTCAAATACTGCTGATTTAAATCAGGTTCCACCTAAACCAGGATCTTGGAATGAGGACGCAGACAACTTTTCCGTACGTGGAGGCAGTGACAGTCGGGACAGCAGCCCAAATACACCACTCATGGATGACACGAAAATGCAGTTTAATAAATCTTGGGATGTGGGTTTGGACAAGACGGTTGCCGAGTCTATACACGGCTATCACGTTCAGAGAGAGGAGGTGGATTGCGTGAGTCACATTGCAAATAGTATTGCATGCCCTGTGTGTGCCCAGTGCTTCTCTGCAGTGCAGGTTGATGTAAGTCCAATACATCCTTGTATGAGACGTATTTAGGACATTAACTATTCAGGTAGAAAATTCAAAATCACGTCAATCGATGCATTGACCATGCATCATCTCCCCCATTGATCCCGAATGACAGCCCATCTTCGTCAAAACTCATGTTGGATCAAAAAACCTTAGCTTTGCCCCTGAAGGACAATGCCTTCAACTTTTTGATGTCCAGTCACAGAGAAAATGAAGTATGGACAGAAGCGGCAGTCGCTGACGTCCGAGCTAGTGAACACACTCAAGTATCAGCAAGTCGCCATAAAGCACCATTTTATAAAGTACTACAAGGGATGCCTATAGCAGTGGATGCTTTTAGGTATGGGGATATTCCGGGAGTTACTGCTTATTTTTTAACGTGAGCACAATATCTACTTACTATAAATTAAATACTGATCCATCTCTGCGATTTACAGGCATGCTCACTCGGACCACTACACGAATTTATCACATAGTTGGAAGAATGGACCCATATATTGTTCTGGTTAGAATATCCGTCTATTACCCCAGTTTCGAGTCCCTCCTGATATATCGTTTATCAATAGACGTGACTGCGAAGCTCATTACTCACATGCTCTCTATTGATCCTCGATGGGTACACCCCCTTCCCATGGATGTACCAACAATCATACCCAATACGGGTGGTGTTTCTGTTACATTGATTGAAGCAAATCACTGCCCAGGTTCCTGCCTGTTCCTTTTCGAGGGACTTCAGACAGTAGATGCAGGTGGTAGTGCATATAAGTCCCGATTTGTAGGCTCATCAAAAACATTTCGGTATCTTCATTGCGGCGATTTTCGTGCATCTCCTCGCCACGTGCTTCACCCTTCGGTGAAGAATAAAAGGATGGATCATGTTTATCTCGATACCACTTACCTCGATCCAAAGGCAAGTAGCCCAGAAATAGAGGGACCAAATATGATTTTGACAAATTTCTGCTTCTGCAGTATACCTTTCCCCCTCAATCACTCGTCATTTCTGCTTGTGCAGAACTCGCTCAAAAGATTAGCTCACAGTCATCGTCTGGTACTTTCCGCTCGCAAGGAAATGGTACATCTACCATGGATGATTGGGTAGCGCACGTCAAGCCCGAGTCCACTCAACATCTCAAAGAGGGAGGAGTTTTGGTGGTAGTTGGGTCAGTGCTGCAGTCCCTGTGTGGAATAATGTACCGTGCTAAGACCTTACAATAGCACTTACTCCATAGGCAAGGAGCGGATTGTTAAAGGCAAGAGCTGTTCGTCTTCGTCGGCACATCTTTTGACCGGGTGCCATTCAGCTATCGCAAGAGTTCTTCAAACAAAAATTTATTGTGACGCTCGAAAAGCTGCTATCCTTCGCTGCCAAAATGATTCTGAGCTTCATGATATGTTAACTTCTGATCCCATCGAAGGCAAAGTCCATCTGCTTCCTCTCGGTATGATTGTATCCGATAAGCTCAAGATATATTTGGAACGCTTCAAGGGAACGTACTGTCGTATTGTTGGATTCCGACCCACTGGGTGGACGTTAGTATCTTCATAACTTCTCTCTTTTTTATATGCAAGGCCTCACAATTTGACAGTTATACAGCTCCAGTAGGCAGTAATCCATGTCCTCCGATATCTACCGTTATATCAGCCTCGCAACACCGACCCTTCACTTTCTCAAATCTAAAACCCATGCAGAAATCTTCCCATGTCATTCAACTATATGGCGTCCCTTACTCGGAGCACAGCTCATTTTTCGAGCTTACATGTTTTGCACTTTCACTCGATTGGGCAAAGATAATAGCAACAGTAAACGTTGGTAGTGAGTCTTCGAGAGCTAAGATAAACAAATGGGTCCAGCATTGGGAAGTGGAGAAGAAGAAGAGGCCATCAGATATCATTGTGGAGTATAGAGGACTCGACTATTGGTAGTTTGCTATACTAATCGTGGGCATTTAGCGAGGCTCAATCATCATTTGATTAGACCGTAGTGGATTTACAGCCACTATCATCATGTAAGCATTTTAAAGCATCATGAAAAAAGCATACATGGCATGGTATGATACATGAATACTAAGATGAAGCGAACAGCGTTAGACCTATTGCTCAGCAGCTCGCTGTCTCCTCCTGACATCTCTCTCCTCGGAAATAGTGAGTTTGGTACCCTTACCCTTGGGTAGGGATATCCATGGTTTTGTACCTTCACCGATGACGAAGATATTGGAGATACTGATCCCCAATGTCAGTTTAGCTGACAATTTTACACGCGAAAAAAAACGCACCGTGTGGCAAACGTCCGGTCCAGCGAGTCTTTCACGTGCACGATATCGAAACCACCGATGTGCTTCTCTCTATGCACGATAACTCCAGCACGACCCATGTTACGCCCGCCAGTGATCATGACAATATTTCCAGTGTCAAACTTAACGAAGTCGATGATTTTTCCCTGTTCCAGGTCAAATTTGATGGTGTCATTGACTTTGATCAGAGGGTCTGGGTAACGGATTGTACGACCATCGTGGGTGACGACATGGGGAACGCCCTTAGCACCAAGAGCGACTTTGCGCACCTTAAGAAGCTTGTAGGAAGCTTCCTCGGCTGTGATCCGATGAATTGTGAAACGGCCCTTTACGTCATAGAGCAAGCGGAAGTGCTCGCCAGACTTTTCAATAGAAATAGTGTCTGATGTCCGTATATCACATTCAGTTGCAAATTTCATCACGTTCTGAGCACTTACCCATGAAACCAGTAGGGTAAGTGGCATCGGTCCTGACTTTACCATCAACTTTGATCAAACGTTGTTTGACGATGGAAGTAACCTCGCGACCAGTCAATGCATACTTCAACCTATTACGAAGAAAAATGGTGAGAGGAAGGCATTCGCGTAATTTATGGGGACCAGGAGAAGGACGAGGAGCCTAGATACGTGGAGTTGAGTTGATACTTTCAAAAAGCTCATGCAAATAATGGACATACATAAGTTCCGCTCAATTTGTCAAGCATCCATGAAGAGGGTGCAGCAAGGCGCTTCAAGTGTTTTTTGGGTCCTCGTGCCTACGACAGTCGTTAGTAAACATCTCTATCATTGAAACAGCTTGTAGGACAGAAATATGCAGAAAATGCAAAGCAGCTCGATATAGGGTATCCGTCCATCGGTACAGCCATCCATCCAATCTGAGAGAACGGACCAATGAAACAACCACTAAAAGAGGTTTGTAGGCCCACAACCTGCGTTTGGAACATTCCACTAACCATGGTGGGTTTCTTGAGGTCGGAAGGGGTCGACGACGGCGGTCTTGATCTTGATGCTACACTTGCGACTTAGTCTAGCGGGGAAGCTGGGACGTGAGTTTAGGGGAGGTCAATATACGGTCACGTGATCTGTTCTGATATCGCCTCAAGCTGAAAATATTGAGGTACAGTTGCAGTCGGTAAGTAAGTCAACAAAGGCGCTACTATAGATGTTGTTTTATTCTATATCTATATTACAGTAAACACTGCAGGTATGAACAAGCCCGATGGTGCTTATTCACGGGCTGGACCTCGTTTCTACGTCTCTCGTGGCTCCTGTTCGGTTCAGCCTTGCCACGTGCTGATGTAAATACGAACAAATTAACTGCGCCGCTTGGATGTGTTCCAGTATCCTCTCTGTGCTGCAACGCAAATATACCCTTCATCATAGACGAACACTATATTCCCCGACACACCTGCAAAGGCCTATTTGCATCATTCTCTGCAAGTTATGTCTTGGAATAACATACCCGCAGACGTTAATGGTCACAATTCCCATTTACCTTTCAACGAGCACTACAGCATTTCCAGAGATCAGCGTATCGAGGGTGTATGGCCGGCCAACAGCTCTCAGGGTATTCAACCCTCATCTCCCCACCAAGGTTCCTGGGCGAATGAGAAGCGTCATCTCGAGAAAGAGCGGAATGTAGCAAGCCGTATCTCGTTTTCCCAGTTCAAACGAACTATACTGCAGTACTGGCCGGCGTCTTCTTTATCGCTACCGTCCATGTCGCGGAGATCAACTGATTCTTTTAATAAGGCTACGAACGGGTCGACCAATTCAACATTCCGCTTTGCTCTTCTCTGTGCCTTCTGGTATACCACCTCTGCGTTATCATCAAATACAGGAAAGACTATCCTAACTCAATTTCGCTATCCGATCACCCTTACCATCATACAATTCGGTTTCGTCGCATTTTTTTGCCTGCTTTTGATGAGTCCTGCCCTTGGGTTTTCCAAATTACGGCCTCCGACGAAGGCCATCGTATGGAGCACACTTCCTATGGGTATGTTTCAGGTCGGAGGGCATGTGTCTTCAAGTATGGCAATATCTCGGATCCCTGTCAGTACCGTTCATACGATCAAGGTATGTCTATTAGCTATACACTAAGAGCTTCAGAGACAAAACTGCTTTTAGGCTCTATCTCCCCTATTCACTGTAGCAGCCTATGCTCTGTTGTTTGGTGTGAGATACTCTCCCAAGACGTATATCTCGCTGCTACCCCTCACTATTGGAGTCATGCTAGCGTGCACTTTCGATATGTCCACCTCAAGTCCTGCTGGTCTTCTTTGTGCTTTCGGGTCTGCTCTTGTATTCGTTAGCTCAAACATATTTTTCAAGAAGATCATGCCCTCAGGCGCGCAGATGTCATCCCATAAACTTGACAAACTGAACCTTCTACTGTATTCATCCAGCATGGCTTTCATCCTCATGATCCCTATCTGGAGTTATACCGACCTTCCCTTGCTTCTCTCTGCCACTGAGGATCCGACCCACGTATCTCACCCTACGCGTGGACATGCAGTCCCTCACTCAGTGCACTACTACTTCTTCGTGAATGGTACTGTCCATTTTGCGCAGAACATCATAGCTTTTATCATTCTGTCTTCCACGTCACCCGTCACATATTCCATCGCATCACTGATCAAGCGCGTTGCTGTGATTTGTATAGCAATAATGTGGTTCAACCAAAGTGTACATCCCGTGCAAGGGCTTGGGATAGGAATGACCTTCTTAGGACTTTACATGTACAATACCGCCAAGGGTGACGTGGAAAGGGGAGAAAACAAAATGAGAAGAGTCGAGGCTGTTCGAGATATGATGCTTCCGATCAACAAGACTGAAGAGAGGATGTTGAACGGGACTGATTCCTCACCATCCCGATTGTCTGTATCCGAGGTCCCCATTATGGCCGCTACGACTGGGATGGGTACGTCACCCGTGTACGGCCGACCGCGAACACAGATACCACCACCTCACAATAACTATTCCAACTTGCGCACTCATGATATCCACTCGCATATACATCCGAATCTCCACATACAAATAACGTCCCCGACGGCTGCAGTGTCTGCTCTGTCTAAGCGCAGTGCTATCTCGCCTACAGACTCTTATCCCTCACCGCCTCCGTCTAACGATTCTCCCCCGCTAAAAACCATTTCCCTTGGGTTTCCACCTCTCAACTCGCATTCTCATGTGTATCCTCTCTCGCACTCGCATCAGATAGGGCCAGAACCGCAGCTTCTCGCAGCCTGAACATTCAAAATACCCCAGGTATATCTTTATTGATTTTAATCAAACTTTTTCTGTGGTTCTCCACCCTATTCCCTTGCCTGCATTATTTAATACACAAAACATCCTATCGACCCCATTTCACTCATAGACTTATACGAGACGACTGTCATTTCGTTACGCACTTTGGATTTGAACGACCTTCTTTTTCGTAGACGAACCCTTTCGACCTCTATTGTATATCTTTCATGGCAACTTGTTCATAGCGCTGTAATACATCTGACGTAGAGACTATCGCGTTGGCTGATCCACTTGTGTAGGAGAATGGGAGTAACGTACTACAGTAAAAGTATACTTTAGTTGGGCGGTATTCAGGGTCCTACTGTGGTACCGCCGCGCTACTCCTACCGAAGCACACGTTGTCTCACGTTACAGTAAGGCGTCACGCATCCTAGATAATCCTACTACTAGCATGAGTACAGTGGACTCGACCGTCGAAGGAGAACAGGAAGAGCCACAGAATGCTCTGACAAAGAAATTCACTGAAGCAGAGTGGGCAGCACTGAAAGGATTCCGTGTCAGTTTTACATTACGCTTTTCAATACATAACGGCGTCCTGACAGGGCTGGGAATAGAGCATTCTACCCAGCGTTATTGCAGAAGGATACCGTGATGATCCTGACAGGACTGACGCCGATACGAAACCCGTCAAGCTATGGGGCGTCGATATAGATCCTTCTAACCCGATAGACGCTCGTGTCAGTGTCGTCCTCATGAAGTTCTTACGAGCAAGGTGCGCATGGCTCCAAGACCTTCTTTCGTAAAGGATTATCTGACAAAAAATACGACAGGAATCTTAGCATACCTGAGGCTAAAGATATGTTGGTTTCGACCTTGCGCTGGCGTGAGTCTTTCAAGGTGGAAGAGGCACTCCAGGAGGAGTTCCCCGAAGATATCTTCGGACAGCTTGGATATATATACGGGCATGACAAAGAGGGACGGCCTGTTGTGTACGTCAATCTCCCTACCATGTTCATACCCTGGTACTCGGTGACGAGTCACCCGATGTCAATCACAGATACAACCTGTATGGCGCAAACAAGGACCTCGACGCTGTTTTCGGCGACGTGAACCGTTTTTTGCGGTACGCTTCTCTCCCGCGTCGTTGACAAGTAACCCCCGTGATATAGCTCTTTCTGCACATAAGATGGCGCGTCGCCTTTATGGAAAAGAGTATCGCTCTCCTCGATTTCGAGACTATCGACCAGATGGTCCAAATTCATGGTATGTCGTTCAGCCTCACTTACCTTATCATCCATTCGAAAATGAACACTGACATGAATCTAGATTACGATGGCGTAGGCTTTTCAAGCCGCACCCCGAATTCCAAGAATGCCGCTTCCGAAGCCTCGAGCATCTTCCAGGGACACTACCCCGAGCTTTTGGTACGTTCCCTCCATCCGTGCTCTCCCATCAGAGCCGACCAACCCAGTCTCATTCACCATATACCTCGCACTACAGTCACGAAAATTCTTCATCAACGTCCCAAGCTTCCTCTCGTGGGTTTTCTGGATATTCAAGCCACTCATATCGTCTGCGACCTTGGCCAAAATGTCGGTCGTTGGCAGCGGGAAACGCGCCATCGGACAAGCACTGCTGCCGGTCATTGACGCAGACCAACTTCCGAAACGATATGGGGGAGAGGCAGATGCCTTTTAGTGCAATGGTTGTTAATTAGTCGCTAGTTTTCTTGTAATGATCGACATGACCGTAAGGTGTCAATCACATTCAATTAATATACCCAATTAGACTACGTGCTCACCGTTCCTGACATGCTCTATGAAATGAAATGCTTTTTTTGTACTGCAAACTCCATCGAGAAATGTTAATCCTTTGTTGCACGGTTTACCTTTTTATTCTTAGGACTGCATCATGAATCAATGAAAGTAATAGCATCAACACGACTTGAAGATATCGTACTTTAAGAGTAGTGAGCTGTGCGTGTATTATCAGCCACTGGTGGAGTATGTACAGAGTTACAGAACAACAAGCCCTACAAGGCAACTTGAAACAAAAGGAAGACGGTTGGAAGGAGAGAAAAACTAAAAGAAGAAAATTACAAGACCTGGAATTTCTACTAGCTCCCGCCCGAAAAAAAGATGTAAACATACAAGCCAGCCCTATCTACTGTATACATTTTTATGATCAAAAGTTATCCACAAATGGCATTATTCACCACCGCCAATACCAACACTACTCCCGCTTGCAACTGTCACTGCGTATTCTTGCTTCACGGGATCCCACCCCTCGGCCCAGCTAGGTGGGCGACCACCGAAACGGGCGAATCGAGAGTAGGCAGGGGCGGGTGGTGGACGCGAAGACCGCAAGGAAGGATTACTGTATGCATAAACATACGTCAACGGCAGATAGTGCGACGAGCGGGAGATCAACTCACTTTGCACTCAAGGTGGGCCCCAGGGCTAGCCTTGCAAAGTTGCTTGGAAACAAAGGGTTTCCAGGTACTCGATCACCTACTGGATCGTAAGCACGTTCACTTCCACTGTCTCCGCCTGCGTCAGAACCGTAATGGTGGGTGTATCCATACATTCTGTGTGTAGGGCTTAGCTACACGGGTGAGAAAGATTAGAGAAAAACATACCCTGCACTGCTGGATGTGCGGGGTGCACCCAAGCTAGATACGGAGCCATGAGATGAAGTGCGGGATAAACGCTTGGAAAACAAGGGTGAAGAGGGGACTGAAGGGCTCGGAGTGCGGTATGCATGAACGGGAGAGAATGGAACGATAGGGACGAGGGGAGAGGATGGAAGAGGGGAAGTGGAAATGCGGAGTCCGTGAACTTGTTGTTCGCGATCCTCGCGGTCCTTTTCCTCTGCAAGTTTTTTGGCATTTGCAGCCTCGTTTGGAGCGTCGTCGTCGTCTTCTTGGTCTTCTGAGATGTCCTGCAAACCAGCACCTGGATCACTCTGAGTAGAGGGGAGAGAAAGGGGAGGAGGATTGCCGGACGGTGTCGTAGATTGTGGGCAGCTTGTTGCGAAGAGAGGCTCGATAGAGAGATACGAGGGCGGAGAGGAGGGGGGAGGAGAGGGAGAGGGAGAGACAGAGAGAGCCAGGTTACCGGACTGTGAGATGATGGGGTCTGCGGGGGGAGATTTGGCATGTGGGGTGGTCACATCTTCGGTGTCATCGATATCAAAGGTGCCGATGAGGGGAGGATTGGATGGAGAGTCGACTATAGCCTGTTCGTTGTCAGAATCCCAGGCGTCCCAGTCGTCGTCGAGCTCGAGCTCAGGGGGGACACCAAGAGCACCCTTCATGCGTTCCCAGATGAGCTCTGAATGGGCGAGGATGCATCTGCGAGCAGAGCGAACCCAGAGAGCATCTGGGGCGGAGTCGCGGTCGACAGTGGTGAGCCAGAGACGGAGGGTAGCGAAGGACCACGTGGGGGGATTAGGGGGGAAGTCGGAGGCATCGGAGAAGATAGGAGAGACAGAGGGCTCGTCTGGCTTTGCAGAGAAAGTCTGTGCGAGGAGAGAAAAGAGCTTGACGGTGGGGGCACTGGACAGAAGGACCGAAACCTCCTGTGGACGGTCCACGAAGGGCAGGTAGACATCGACAGGCAGCGCAGTAAACGTGGGAGCGGCGGTCTGCGGACCAGCAACGGGGCCTGCTGAGCCAGGCGTGGACGGAGCAGACGGCGTAATGTACCGGGGACTGGACGACTGCCGTGCAAGCTCGACGAGCTGGTCTGCGCTGAGGTTCGGTTTGGACGCGAACGAGCCAGAGCCAGAGAGTCGGCGGGTGAACGACGGCGAAGAGGGCCGGAGACGAGGGGAAGAGGACGGGCTGGAGGCGGACTGGCGGGTGGTGGTGGTGGTTGGGGGCGGGGGAGAGGGTGCAAAGGACGAGAAGGCGAAGCTGAGGCGGGCAGAGGGGTCCTGGCCGGTGATGGCGGAGGTGCTGACAGGGCGGCGGTGGGATCGTCTGTGGTGCAGAACCGGCGACGACGGTGGTTCTGTGAGGCTGATCGACGAGATCGATGAGACAGGCGAACCGAACGGCGAAGAGTCTTGCACGCGCACTATCGTCAGCTTGCTCGACGACGATCGGTTGGGGTCCAGATTCAGCGGCGAGTGCTGTCCCCACGGATCAGACGCTGACACAGACCCACGGCGAGTAGACAGCCTGCGTTGCGACATCCTCCTCGTCTTCGATGCGGGCAGAAGAAAGAGTGCTCAAAATCAGTGGGGAAAAGCCTTTTTAGTAAACTCACTTGCCTTCTACGGAACCCCTTCTTATGTAACACAACCTGCTTCTGACGTACCCATGACATCATGTGACTGCGTAATAGTCATTGCAACCGCATCATCCCACCCAGGTCACCGTCGCTCAATCTCCATCACTTCACCCACATACTTTCCTTGCTCTACTCAATCTCAGTCGGAAATGACTATACTAAATTAGTCAGAATCCTGACAAATCAAACTACTTACATTGAATCAGCAGAACTTGTAATTGCATGCAGTCTCATGCACTTGAATGCAATACACTGTAGCATCACATCATTGTGCAGTGCAGTCATACATTATACATTCACAACTATATCTGGTCACACTTTTGCAATTTCATCTTTTATCCTGTACCACCATCTCAAAGCTGCCCAAAGTCTCGTCCTGAACTTGGGTCCGGACCTGGGTCACTGGACCAAACCTTTGCACCAAGTCCAGTTCAGGTCTATTAATTGAAGACCTGGTCCAAACCACTTTGGACCTGCATAATTAGTCATAAGTAAGGGCTTCTTCTTTGACACACTCACTAATAATCTAATTATACATTTGCTAAAGTACTGTATTTTCAATTTTTTTCTTCTACATTCTTTGCTAAGTGGTGAGGGTAAGGAATTTTATTTATGCTTTCAATTGCCAGAACCATGGCTTTTAGAGTTATTGGAGTATAGAGATTGGAGGAGCAGAGGTGAGAATGGAGGGACAGATCAGAAAGAGCGGGCACATTGAGACATATCTCCATTAATGCATAGTCGGGATCAACACAGTCCTCAACCCATGCAGAGCGTGGAGGACTGCTGACTGTTTTTTTTATCTCAGTGGCATCCAGAACTGCTGTAGTGGCACAAGGTTTTGCAGTGCTGGAGGAGGACTTAGGGCACAAATTTGTGTTGTGACTGGTTTGTCTGCAGAACAGACAGAGATTATTGTCAAAACAATGTTTGTGTTCTTCCAGAGTGAATTTTCTGTCCTTGCCTAACTTATGTTCAATTGAGAACTTCTGGGAAGTGTCTAGCCACTTGCTGAGAGCTAACAAGGACAGAACTAGAGTCTAGTATGAGTAACTATATTATCAGAGAGTACAGAATGTGTACAGTACCTAGAGTCCAGTATGAGTAACTAAAGAATAGGAATACTGGACTCTGCAATACTAGTCCGAAGTTTTGTAAACAAAGGTAAACAAATCAGCCACAAAGGCGAAATTATAGAATGCTCAGTGAATACTGAACAATAGAGCAAAAAGAATAAAGAGGAAAGTGATTTAGAAAGAAGGGAAAATAGATAGCTCAACTAGGTGCAGAATCACCAAAACTAACAACTTATTGGTCAAGTCCGGAGTTTTTGGAGTGGGGGTTGGGGTATGAGGAGAGTTGGGAGGGATTGAGGAACCCCTAGGGGTACAAGGAGAATGGGCATTGAGGGGCCATGGAAATTAATTGCATCCCTAGGGGTTAACAAGCAGAAAAACTGAGGAATTTGGTGTTGCCCTGTGAGGTGTTACGTACACATTTAACCATGGGAGAGATACAGAGGGTCCAGAAAGTGTCAGTTTAAATATACCGTCAGAACTGTGACCTTTGGAGTAGCAGAGTTTGGAGTGCGGAGATGAAGTGGGCAGTAAAACAGAGCACAAAGTTGGGGATTGACATAGCTTGTACGCTAGGCCCTTCTGTGGATCTTAGTCCCTCACTTGTCAGAGTGAATGGGTGAGAGTAGAGGATGAATAATGGAGTGGAGTAAAGGTCCTTTGGAGAAGGACCAGAAACTCAGAAGGAGACTTGAATAAAGGTGGGAGGGACTAGTCAATATCCGAACTGCAGGAACGGAGTACAGGAGCTACGGCTTATATACTATCAGAGGGATGGGAGTTTGTAAGGAGTAACTTGTAATGTAGGTATGGAGTTTCATGCGGACAAGTATCTAGTGAGGGAAAATCATATATGAGGGGAGTGTACCATAATGTCTAAACTACAGAGTACATGAGGAATATGAGAACATGCGGAGGAAATGTATGGCGAACTAGAAGTCCAGTGCAGGAGTATCAGAGTGGGTATCTATGTAAGGACCATTCACTTTTCCCTATCTTTTCATTCCATGTCTTGGTTTTCAAACACTTTTCCCATTACACCTCTGGCTTTAAGGCTAGAGGTGTCCTTTGCCATTTTACTTCTCATAGCGTTAACGGGTTTTCTCAACCATCAATACCATTTTATATTGCAGATCAGTGACTGGGTAGCACTCCCAGCCAGCCAGCACAATGGGTAAAAACTGGTAATAGAGATCTTGCTAACCAGCTTCAAGCCACATCAGTGCCTGGATATATTAATAGACACTTTAGTCAGGATTTTACCTCATCATAAGGATACAGTTCCTGAACATGCATGTCAATACCTATTATTAGTATATGTGAGGCAACATTAAATTATAACAAAGACAATACCCGTCTCCAATTGCCCTTGTAGGGAGTAAAAGGTACAATGAGTTTAAGATCAACAGATGCTAGAGATTTTAGCAAGTAGAGGACAGGGAGTAAACTCAAGGGTTTCTGTTGAGGAATAAAGTGGATAATTCAAGTAATAAAAAGCTAAAGAGCAATACATGAGTATGTAGGGTTTTTATAGCTAATTGTCTATCTCTCAGACTGGAAAATAGAATAAAAGAAAAGTGGTCTGAGGATGAAACTATCCAATAGAAAAAAGGAACAACTTATTGTACGACTTCAGGGATTAATCAGCAGGTGAGAAAATGTACTAATAATGGGTATGTCATGCACGTTCAGAAACTGTATTCTCATGATGAGGTACAATCCTGACTAAAGCATCTATTAATACGTCCAGGCACGTATGCGGCATGGAGCTGATTAGTGAGATCTCTACCACCAGCTCTTACCCATCATGCTGGCTGGCTGGGAGTGTCACCCAGTCTCTGATCTGCAATATGAAATGGTAACAATGGTTAAAAAAGCTTATTAGAGCTATGAGGAGCAAGATAGCAAAGGATACCTCTAGCCCTAAAGCCAGAGGTGTAATGGGGAAAGCGTCTGAGAACCAAGGCATGGAACGAAAAGATAAGAAAATGTAAATGGTCCTTACAGTATATTTTCCCACTTACTGATTAACCCTTGAAATTGTACAATAGTTGTTCTTTTTCTTATTGGTCGGTTTCATTCTCAGACCACCTTTCTATTGTTCCTTTTCCAATCTGAGAGATAGACAATTAGCTATAAAAATCCTACATACTTGTGTATAGTTCTTTAGCTTTTTATTACTTGAATAACCCGCTTTACTCCTGATCAAAACCCTTGAGTCCACTCTCAGTACTCTACCTGCTACAATCTCTAGCATCTGTTGATCTCAGAACTTATTGTACCTTTTACTCCCTGCAAGTGCAGAAGGAGACAGGTGTTTTTTTGTTATAGTTTAATGTTGCCTCACAATCTGGAGTACCATGTGGGGGTGGGGTACAGGGCTATACTAAGCAGCAGAGCATGATGAGCATAATTCTGAGAGTATCAAAAATTTGGGGGTTTGGTGTCATGCACCAAAATTGATTGGTAGCATGGACAAGTGTCAAAAATGAAGCAAATATTCAAAAGACTCGCCTTTGCGCCACACAAGCACAGTGCCATGTGGAATAGTAATTAATATTGCCTTTTTTGAACTTGTGGCTGATCAGCACCATCTCTATTAGGCAGTCAAGTCGCGCTCACCTTTACTTTCCATTCAGTACTTTCTGCATTTTGGTAAATTTCCGTGTCGCCACTGGCTACACATTGCGCCCTTGCTTTTGTTGTTCTCCCTTACCCTTTTCCCTTTACTTAGCCCCACTATGGGCCCTTAACTCTCCTTTTTATTCTCACCAGATGGTCGTATCTGGCTCCCTATTCTAGTCCACTTCTTCGTCACCTCCACCCTCCTCCTACTCATCTTCCTTGCTCCTTCACCACACTTGATGTCATCACTCTCCATCCGCCTCCATCACCAATCTATTGACCACCATATGCCACTGTTAATATCAGCAAAGCCCCAGCGGCCAGTCTAAATTGGGAAACAGGTCCATCTTCATGATGTTGATCTGCCGTTTTCCACTATTAAATCATTGGTCACTTGTTTTCCCTTGCGTTGCCTATGTACATTGCTGTCCCATTCACTTGGGTACATTTATCCTTCGTCCATTGTTTTCATTACAGCTACACTTACCACACACTGCCTGGGACACATTTGTTCCAAATCGGAACTACTCTTCTCCCTCCTTCATTTGAGCAGGTGGTCCAATACAACCAGACCATTGATAAGGCCATGGAACTGTCAGATTTGGACTAGGTGGTGGACCGGTGGCTCCAGTTCCTTTTTTTCAGCAGAACATCCATTTGCAGTGCAATTATTTTTCATTTTTGAATCATTTTTATGGACACATATTTTTTTAAGAATGCCTGACTGACAACAAAGGAACTGTGTTGATACTGAAGTTATTTTTTGCCTTGCTTTCTTTACTGCATCTTCCCATGACATCATGATTTTCTTGCTCTTTTTCTGCTATTGGACTTTATTTTATGGCTGTACAAACCTGTTACATTACTTACACAGTATTCATTGTTTCATCTCTTTCTTTTCCTTATTTTGATGATCTTATCCTGTACTACCTATGCAGGATTTATCAGCATACATTCCTTCCTTCATGTTCTCCCTCATTCTTTTTGCACAGCTATACTGTGCATAGCCTATCTTTCTTTTACTATATAAACCCCTGTATTTTACCTTGTAAAAAAAAATCCAATTCAGACTTTTTCTCTAATCTCAAGTATACTACTCACTGCTGTGAGGCAACGATAAACTATAACAAAAACGAAACCTGTCTCCTTCTGCACTTGCAGGGAGTAAAAGGTTCTATGAGCTTGAGGTCGACAGACGCTAGTAAATATAGCGAGTAGAGGACTTTGAGAGGTAAGCTTCAAAGGTTTTCGTTGAGGGGTAAAGCGGGTAAATTCAGTAATAGAAAACTAAGGAGCCATACATGAATAGGTAAGGCTTTATATAGTGAACGGTTTGTTCCTCAGACCGAAAGGAGAATATACGAAAAGTGGTCTGAGGAATTAATCAACCAATAAGAAAAAGGGGAAGTAACTATTGTACGACTTTTGACTTGATTAATCAGCAGGTGAGAGACTTGTACTAATAATAGAGGATTGTCACGTGTGTTCAGGAACTGTATCCCCATAATGAGGTACAATCCTAAATAAGGCGTTATTAGTATAACCAGGCTTTACTGGGGCTTGGAGCTGGTTGGCGAGATGCCTACTACCAGTCCCTACCCAGTGTGCTGGCTGGCTGGGAGCGATACCCAGTCTCTGATCTGTGATATAAAATGGTAGTGATGGTTAAGAAAGCCTGTGAGGGCTATGAGAAGTAAAACGGCAAAGGATACCTCTAGCCCTAGAGCCAGAGGTGTAACGGGAAAAGCGTTCGAGAACCAAGACATAGCGAAGATAAGAAAATAATGAAATGGTCCTTACAACTGCTACTTGTGATTCAGTGTGCTAATGGTCACAACACTTCCCACTGCTACCACTGTTAATTGCTGTCATTGTCACTTGTCAGTTCTGAAGTCCACAGAAGGGCCTAGTGCATGAGCTAAGCCAACTCCCAATCTCGTACTCTGTAACTCTAACACTCTAAAAGGTCACGGTTCTGACAATGGGCTGATATGACCCATCCAATAAATATTACCAAAATATGAGTAAGCAACTTTTCAATGTTATTCCTCTACAGTACTTTGTTTTTGTTGCAAAACATATAATAGACATTCAAACACTTAGGATAACCTGCCCACCCATTGTACCTCACTTATAATCCTTATTTTTTAATATAACTAAGTGAAACTACAATAGATGTCAGTTTAATGTAATCTCCGTGAAATGTAATATAACATATTTCAGCTGCTGTCCAAGAGGCTATAGAAATGACAAAAGTATTTCTATACTAAGCCGCCTACTACTTATAATTAAAGGTGCTACTCACTAAGGTACAATGGCTCCATGGAGAACAGTGGATGCTTAGCAGCTTTAGCTGCTGAGACTGGGTTTATCTGGCTTTGTCATTTTTCAGGATTTTATATCTTGTATACCATAATTACTATACCATAAATACTGTAGAGGGGGAAGCTCACACTTTCACCCGAAAGCCTTTGCATAGCACATACATATATATATACATACATACATGATCATTGCTTACAAATTATTCTATATACAGTGTCTCAAAAAGAAAATACACAGCATAGCAGATTTCACAAATTGTAGTGCTCTTTGACAATAATTGACAATAAATACAGATTCACTTAAGGTAGTAAGTGTTCCAAGTAGCAAGAACCTTGTACTTATCAGATATGTGGAAATAAAAAACTTTGTACTATATAAATTATAATGAAGTACTTACCACAAAAACTGGTGTGCATTTTGTTTTTGGGAGTGACACCTGCTCAAAAACATCAAGTATATCAAAAGCAGTATGCAAGATAATGAGACTACCCTTTCTAATACTTTTCAGCACCCCTTTTATCATCTAAAAGAGCCCCAATTTGCCTTTGCGTACTTTTAAACAAATTATCAATGTAGTCCATCTCAATATAACCCCACTCATCCATCAAAACATCCCATAACTCTGTAATATTTTGTGGCAGTGATGTCTAAATGGATGCACTCAACTGGCCTCCAAATAGTGATATGAATAAACACTATTGAGCATGTTTGGTACTACTTGGATAGATATGCATTGAGCCTTTTTTCTTGAACTACTCCTTTGCCAAATTGAATGTACAGTAACTCTAAAAACCCTTTTCATGTTCACTCTGGGTGTCATGCATGAAGCATACCATCAAACAGCATGAGAATTGTAGTTAGCTTTGGTGGAGTGTTAAATTGTACATACTCTTTGGCTATAAAATTGCCCCATAGGTCCTGTGATTTGGTTCACATGCTATGGAGATATGGTTGATTTAAAACAACAACACCATGGAAAGGGTTTTTTCACTTTTGAATTGAAAGGGTATTTGGATATTATCAGTACTTGATATAGCCTCCTTTTGCCCTAAACACTACCTAAATCCTTCTAGGCATACTTTCAATCAATTTCTGACACTCCTCAACTGGTATCTTCTCCTACTCCATTTAAGTCCTTACCCACAATTCATGAATCACATTGGGGGGGTTTTTTATACCGTGCAAGCTTCCTCTTGAAATGTTCAATAGGATTTAGGTCAGGTGATTGTGCAGGCCAAATTATAGCATTGAATGCTTGTTCCTCTAGCCAGTCCTTGGCCTTCCTGCAGGTGTGCTTGGGGTCATTATCCTGCTAAAAGATACTTTCAGAAGGATTGAGACCATAATACTCTAGGGTTTGTTAGAGCTCATCCGAAGGTAAAGGTCCCATCCATCCTACCATCAATCTTGGTAGCAAATCCAATTGCTTTACAAGTCATACAGCCCCACATCATCAAGGAACCTCCTCCAAACTTAAGAGTTCCATCTACCAGTCTATCACTAATCCCCTTACCTGCCCTTTTCTATGCCCATCTGACCGTAGGCAATTGATTTTAGTCTTAATGTATCATATTACTCTTTTCCAGTCCTCCAACCAAAGTCCAAGATCCAAACAAGCTTTGTGATGCCTAGTAGAAAAAAGGGGGTGTTTGGACTTCACCACATCCTTCTTACTAGATGTCTTCAAATGAAGACAAACAGTATTGGATGAGAGGGGTTGGTTGATGATGCTGGTAAGGGCTTTGGTCATTTAAACAGCATTGTCAGCTTTGCCAAAGGTAGTGAGATGTTGGGCATGTCAAATATTGGTAGGGGAAAGCTTGGAAGAATGACCTTTAATAGCTTTAGGTAGGGTAGAATGCTCTTTGGAGCAAAGTTTGGATATAATAGAAGGGCTAACACCAGCCTGCTTGGCAATGGCTTCACTGGAGTAGCCAACATCAAGCAATAAAAGGATAGAGCTTTTTTGAGTAAAAGGGAGGGATTTGACCATGATGGTGGTTGAGAATCAGAAGTGTGTGAACTTTTTTAAGCTCAGACATACTATTTGTATATATATTTTTCCCGGACCCGTAGGTTCCAGGTTTCCAAAGCACAAATGTCCGCTGCATTTTCCAAAGACCTTTTAGTCATTACTCATTTACGTTTATGCTTCCTTTCCTTTCTCACACTTTTGGCTTATTCTGTCTATTGTCCCGTGGCTACCCCGGTGCTACTCACTCTTGCATCCATTGTATGTTGTTGCTCTGTGATTGTTGTAAAGACTGCACAAAGTGTCAACTGTAATGCTGTGTGATCTGGACACAGCCAGGGCCAGGTCTGCCCCAGAGGGCAATGGTTTTGTTTGTACCAACACATAATAGCAAATATCCAATGTTTTAACTAAGGTTCTAGTCATCAGTTCAAAAATGAAAAAACCCTTTTTATGGTGTTTCTGTTTTAAATCAGCCATATCTCCATAGCATGTGAACTAAATCACATGACCTATGGGGTGATTTTACAGCCAAAGAGTATGTACAATTTAACACTCCACCAAAGTTAAGTACAATTCTCAAGCTATTTGATGGTATGCTTCATGCATGACACCCAGAGTCAACATGGAAAGGGTTTCAAGAGTCACTGTATGCTTTGGATTACTGCCTTGCTGGAAATAATAATTCTTCTTGGTAATACTGAGGCCTCAAAAGGCCTTTAACAAGTTATCTTTAAGGATTTGGACATGTAAATTTTCATCTATATTGCACACCATGCAGCAAATGCATCTAAATCCCTCAGCTATCAGGTACCTTTACACTGTCAGAATTATTTTATCTTTATCACTCACTATGTTGTAGTTCTTGTGAGGCAAAGCAAGACTAAAACAAAAATAAAATCTATCTCTCAGCACTTACAGAGAAGAGGAGGTTAGTGGGTCCAAGGTCAACAGATGAGATTGTTTAATACAGCAATTAAAGGATGAGAGCTGGACTCAGAGGTTTATGATATGGAGTAAAGTGGGTAATTTAAGTAATCAAAAACTAAAGAACTGATACATGATAGTACAGGGTTTATATAGTGATTATATATCATCATCAGACCAGAAAAAGAATAAAAGAAAGGTGGTTTGAGGATAAAATCAGCTAATAAAAAAAAGATAAAACATTGTATGACTTTGGTGATTAATCAGCTGTATGAGAAAGTAATCTATTAATTTCTCCAAGTGCTTGATCTGATTTGAAGCTGGTTGGCAAGAGTATTGCCAATCACTCCAACTATTGTGCTGGATGGTATGGAGTACTGCCCATCCTCTTAGCTGTGATATAAAATGGTAATAATGATTGAAAAACCCAAAAAAATCTAAAATCTAAAAAGATACTGAATGATATCTCCAGCCCTAAGGCCAAAAGTGTAACAGGGAATGTGTCAGAGAACAAGACATAGTGAGTGAAGGTGGAAAATGAAATAATCCTGACAGTTCTCAGACACTTTCCCTGTTACACCTTTGGCCTTAGGGCTAGAAATACTATTTGGTATTCTCCTTATTCTTGCCCTTTTGGGATTTTTTAACTATTGCTACCACTTTAAATTGCAGCTAAGAAAATAGACAGTACTCCCTGCCATCCAGCACAATGATTAAAGTGGTTGGTAACACTCTTGCCAACCAGTTCTGAATCTAATCAAGTGCCTGGAGATATTAATAGAGGCTTAATTGAGAATAGCACACTATTTATGGGGATACTATTCTAGACCAGCCTGATAAATTTATTAATAGACTATTTTTTCATGAAACTGATTTGATCCTGACAAATGTTGATCAAATTCTTGCCTTGGCTACCTCCAGTACCATATACAACCATTGGAGCATATCCGATTAAACTTGAACTCATTCAACAACTCTAGTGCTTTCCAGTTCTTAATTGTCCAATCAGTATGTGCCTTGACCTATTCCAGTTATTTTTGCATGCAAGGTGTGTCAAAAAAGGCTTCTTTTGGCATACATAGGCACTGAGGCCACACACTCAAAGTCTTGTTTAGATTTTTTCTGCATTGATATGCAGGAAATATCTCATTTGTAAGTCAGCTATGTCATATGCATTACTGTATACAAGAATTTGAGCAGCATATTGCACATCATGGGTAGTGAACTTTTCTGGACAGCCTGGTTTTTGTTTGATACGATAGTAATCTTCATTATTGGCATATCAGCTGAAAATGTGAAAAACAGTAGTGTGATGGATGCTGAACTTTACAGCAATGTCTGCATCAGACACACCAAAAGCTTTGTCCCTACAGATTCAAGTTTGTTTGGTCAGAGAAGTATATTTGTCATTATTTAGATAATAGGATATAGAAGTCAATGGGATGGGTTTCAAGGTAGACTGTATGTGTTGCTATTTTGATACACCAGAAATGTCACGACCTGAACAAGAGCGCTAGTTTCTTTTTTATTTTCTTTAATATCTAATCACATGAACAGATATAATATGTTAAGCTGCTGCTATTAGCGCGGATAACATAATACTTAGTTATATCAGATCACGTGACCATCACGTGACAAAGAGCCTAGAACTATTACAAAGAACATCAGTCAGCGCCTCATGGCTACTGCATGTTATATCAGTCAGCGCCTCATGGCTGACTCTCAGAAACGTATATATAGTGAACACCCATGTACATATTTTCCTTAGTTGTTGATTACTTCTCAATCGATTACTTGTGACGCTACTTGTCGATTTAAGGTCTTCATCCCTCCGTTAGTTCGGTATAGGGGATAAGGCTTTTACACAATCAACAACTACCATGAGTACCGTCCATGAACGTAACAGCAACAATCCTAACCACCATCACCGTTATCATCATCATCATCTTCCTCATCCTAGCCCTACTCAAACGTTCAATCCAAACCACCACTACCCTCCCACTTCATCACATCCCCACTCGCCCCAACACCATTTTATCCTTCTTTCCCGCCAACGTATCACCCTCATCCTCCCAAGACTCTTTTGTCACCATCCCCCTCTAGTTACACTTTTATATCATCATAATCTCTTTGGTGTGGAACCACTGGGATTTTCTCGGTTTTACGTAATTTCATCCTTCGAATTCCTCTGACCAGGCCGCGCATTTGCGTCCGCCAGTCGGGAGAAGAACTGACAGCTTAATAAGCGGGTTACATTGGGACAACCGTTCGGACCCCAATTTATTACGATACCTTTTACATAAAATTCATAAAATACAAAAATAGTTACCTTACATACATAGTCAGTGGTGGACAGAAGAGGACCACCTTGACTCAAAGAGAAAAGATAGACTACTAAGATCTTAGAAAGCGGTGTATCGATCCAGCTTATCACTGGTGAACTCCTTTCTATGCTTAGTAGAGAATTGTACATTTGGATAGGAGAGCAACGCGTCTACTCCCAAGATTACGTATTCAGAGGACAATTTCCTCTACCAGAAATAACAACAATCAGAATCCCATCCCCCGTGATTAAATCCGAAACTCCCCTCCTCCCCAACTCAAATTTGATGTCAAACTAGAATATCGAGATCTGCCCGAGCCATCCAACAGCACGGACAGCGCCTTCACCAGGGAAATGATGGACTCATTACCCAGAATAGAAACTCCCCCCCCGAAAGAAGCGCAATTGGAAGCATTCGTAAAACAAGAAGTGGAAAAGGCAGTAAGAGCAACACAGATGCTTTACCAATCGCAATTAGACGAGGCACTCGAAGAAGTGAGCGTCTTAGAAAGAAAGTTAAAGAAGCAATCGCCACCACCTCCAGAAAGAACGGAGAGAAGTAGAACGGCATTGGAGAAGCCAGAAAACTTCTCCGGAGATAAGAAAAAGTACAGGGCCTTTAGAGAGTCCTTACTTTTACATTTCGAAGATGATGCCATCTACTTCAAAGACGATAGAAAAAAGATAAGCTTTGTGCTATCTTTTATGAAAGAAGGAGAAGCCGCGGCCTTTCGGACCGACTGGCTAGAGAACCGGGTCGACGCTCAACAAATGGGGCTCGATATCACAAACACATACGGAAGCTGGCCGTATTTCGCAGACAAAATGGAAGAAAGATTCAAGGACAGCTTTGAAAAAGAAGCTGCCAAGAATGAAATACTGACCCTGAAACAGGGCAATGAAACCGCCCAAGCCTTTTTTGAAAGGTTTGAAGAAAAGAAAAGATGGGCGGGATACACAAATAGGATAAATGAAGAGTTCCTAATATCTCTACTCAGAAGAAATATGAATAAGCCGCTAGTAGATAGGGTGATCTACGGTGGGCATATTCCTAGAGATTACCAAGAGTGGAAAAGAGAACTCATCAGAA